TCAAAATTTCCCAACAAATTCTTAAAGAATTTAACTACCTCTACTTTTTGCAAAACAGTATCCTTTGTACACTAGCACCCTAAGGGAAAGTTTAGCACATGAATTTTATTTCTTTTCCATCTCATTGTTGCCTAAGTATGAAAGAATCTAGTATTTCTACTACCAAGCTTAATCCATTCCTCTCTCACCTTTTGAAACCATAATGTTTTTTTTCCTAGAAGAGACTTTTCTCATACTCTCGTAGAAACTCCTAATACAACATGTGTTTCAATTAGTCAACACAGTTCAAAAAGGTCTCCAAGCCTTTTAGTCTTGCAGCTAGCCCCCTCTTCCTCCTAGAAATGCTCCCAAAATCCTCCATATTAAGCACCACAAAGGCTTCTTTCACTTTATCAAGGGAGGAGAAGACATTCTTTTATTTAGATGTCATGCATTCACCACCATAGACCTATAATCCTTATGTGTGCTCCAAGCATCTTCAAATCAAAATGGATGATTATTTAGGGTCATAAGAAACCTCCTACACTAAAGAAACAACATGTTGTGATTAGAATGACCCCTCAAAACCTCCACCACTACCTCCTGAAATGCAATCTCCATTAGACATCACAAAGGGCTTTATTGAGTTGCTTATGGATTGACGAAGCCCCTATGTTAGTACGATGCCAAGTCTACTTCCTACCCATTGGATTAGCAGTTATGAGATGAAAATCTTTCAGATGTTGAGCAAACATTGCTGCCTATGCATGATTAAAGGACCATTTCATCTAGTCAGACAATAACAAGGTATCATTTAGATCTCTAAACAAGAATCATAGTTATGTGAAAGAGCTTTGTAAAGTTTTAAATTCAAAGACAGTCTCACTCAAAATCTTGGGGACTTGCATATGCTCCAATATAGTACCACGTAGAACCACAATACAACATGCTCAAAGTGATAGTTTGTGCAAAACAAAAGAGTCCGCAACACCCACTTAGTACACAAAATCTTTACGAAGTAAAGCCCATACACCCTATGCATGCCTATAAACCTCTTGAACAACGACCAAAGAATACAACATTTTGTCCCAGAAATCTTTCACCCTAAAGAAAAGAATATGCACCTCAAAAAGGAAAATGATATTCAAGCTTCCTTTCTTTAGAGTTTCTATGATATGGGCCATATTTCTCTTGCCTACAACCCCACATACATTCCACGCAATCACTTTACACTCTTTAAAAATCTTTATATTAACAAATTCTTCTAAGACATTCATCCCACATCCATGTCACCTTTATTAATTACTCCAAAATTTTTCGCATCCATCCTAAGCCGAAGAAATTTATTTTGTTGTATAATCGTAGTATCTCCCTAATTTTGTAACACTTTAAAAAAATTGTAGTTGTTATTGAGGTCATGATTAGTGTCATTATTCCCGACCCCATTTATTTCTTGGATAACAAATCCCTTCCCCTTCACCCCACTTCTAGGTTTAGTTACTACCAACCATTCCCCATCGACCCCATCATTGACCGGATTTGATGTTGCATTATCTAGCGTAGGGTTTGGAACTCACTCATGCTCCTTACGATGATCATGTGGAGTGGTTATCATTGCCTTACTTGTCTCGCCACCATCCTCCAAGAGATTAGTAGCAACCCATCCTAGGCAATTACGCGCTAGATGGTTATAATTCCCACATTCAACACATAACAAATGCAAGCCCTCATACTCAATTTTGAACCAATAATTCTTGAACCAAACCTTACTTACAATAAGCTGGGTCCTCAAATCGATTTCAATGCAGACCCTTACAAATTTTCCTCGTGAGGCATTCAAGATTATCAGGTCAACCTTAATTGAATGACTTATAGCCATAGTTAGGGGGCTAAGAGCACATTTTCATCACAATATTCAATCAAGACTAGGAAATCAGATCCAAACGAAAGTTTTATCTATCTTCACCTATGAGGCCACAAAATCAAGAATCCATTCCCTTGTCGCCAAATAGTGGTCAAACATCAACCACGAGCCACCTGACGTCACCTTTTCTCTATCTGCACATAGATCAAACTTCACCATAGAAAATCCATGACCTGTGTCCAACACATCATATCCTTTTATCGGCCTCCAAGTTAGTTTTAGCTTTTCCCTCATAGTAAAAAACCCTACATTCCAAGATGTCCTTCAACGATATTATCCACAATACTTCACATGACAGTTTGGGTTGGTTTAATCTATTCCCAATCCTTCCCTTTTTTTCCCCTAACCATTCCTCTCATAATAAAGATGTCATACCAACCAATCAATGTCACATATGCTTTGGATGACATTGTTCAAGTTGGGCACTTGTGTTTTCCATCTATTTACTAACCATGTGAGGAGAACTAAATCGGTGATGGACTCATTTAAGGCACTAGGTCAATGGGTCAATGGTTGAATTAGTGAGTCACTAGTTAATATGCATGAATTAGTATATTATTAAATATATATTATGAAGATGCATATTAAAATAGTGGTTAATTTTTTTTCAAAATAACCATAGCGGCTAGGTTTGATTTTTAATAAGTCCAAATATTTATAACATTTTTGTAAATTTCATCTTCAAATCTTTGTGTTGGATGAGTGTAGCCAATGAATGTGTGCAACATTGATCAGATTGCCTGGGAAACAGGTGTGCAACATATATTAGAGCAATGTGGGAAAAAGTGCATCATTGAATAAAGGAACGGAAGTTGGAACATTTTGGTGGTCCAGCTCAATTGCTAACCTAACTACCAAGTTGATGACACACCATCCCGGTTAAATGCATATCTGGGCCAATAAGACAACCAAATTGGCTATGGTCTTGGGCAGGGTTTTAAATTGCGGACCGCATCACGCATTGCAGCCGCAATATTGTAGTTGCGGCCATGTCCGCAACGGCATCGGATCGCAATTGCGGTGTGACCGTAAATCACGGCTTTTTCTGTAACGTAACGGTGTTGCGTCCGCAACACCTCCATTTTGAATCTGCAAACGACAACTTGAAGGTGGAACAGGGAATCGTTTTTAAAAAAGTAACTTTTTTTAAATAAAAAAAAGTTAACTTTCAGGAATCTTTTCAGAGATGAGAACAGACATTCAGATAAATTATTCACGAGATCAATAATGGTTCAAACTTTAACTTAGAAGGTGAAAAACAAAGCATAGAACTTACACTTTCATTCGGAACTCCCTTTGTATCTCTACCAAGAAGAGGAAGCTTGCTTGTTAATTGTAAGTTTTCTGCCTCTTACGTACCCCTGTTTGTCTTTGTTGTTGTTGTTGATATCCTTGCCATTGTTGTTGGCTTGTTGTTGTCCCGCACTCTCGAATCCATTGGTTCCGCAGTAAATAGGGATGAATTTGTGATTTTGGCTTGATTTTTGCTTGAAATGCTTGATTTTGGTTTTCTGCTGCGGTGAATATGGATTCTGGAGTTTGGGGGATTAACGGCAGCGCAGTCCAGCAATGAGCAACCTTACGAATGAAAACCTAAATTTCTTTTAATATAATTTTTTATTTAGTTAGTGGACGTGTTGGGAACCCAAATTCAATCTTGGACTCTATCAACGTGGGCCTTTAGTGAGTTTAGGGGATTAACAGAGCATGAAAAAAATTAGAACATCGTTTGGACGTGGGCCTTTGGGCTTGTGGTTGTTGTGGCCTTTAATTAAAATTTTAAATGGCCTTTAGTCATCAATTAATTTAGTTTTTCTATTAACTGAAGCTATTTAATTTCATTAAAAAGCATAATAACTGTCAACTAAGTATACATGCAGCTGTTTTATCACATGGATGAAAATCTTTCTTTTATTATTATTTAGCCAGTAAAATGCAAAAAAGAAATGCTTTTGTTAGTAAATGTTTTCTACCATGATAATCACCATCGAATATACAAATATTGTAATAGTAAATTAAAAAATAGAATTATAATTATTATCTAATTTAAACGAAATGAAATTAGCATATCTTTAAAACTAAACTCAACTTATTTTATTTTTACAGAAAATAATGTATTTTTGTTAGTCAATTAGTTTTAAGTTTTTAAATTTGATAAAAGAAAATATTTTTTTAATTTTTTAAAATAGAAGGGTATAATGGTTAAAAAATGTGGAGACCAAAGTAGTTACTGAAAAGGGTATTCCCTTTATATATTAGTATAGATGTGAATGATTATTAGAATATTTTGCAATATTTTTATATATAATATGCTTAGCCTAATTATATGTATATCAATATTAGGTTGTTTATATTTATTTTTATTATTATGTTAATTTATTAGTCATTGTTCTGAAGTTTGAAATATAATTTAATTATTGATTGATATTATATTTTCAAAATTTTATACAAATATATATACATAATGACATCAAATGAAGAATTTCCTATAGGAAGACTAGAAGGTGCTCCAAGCGACGATATTGGATGGCATTTTGGAGTACCTATAGCAGGAAATCGCAACAATGTCCAATGTAAACTTTGTCAAAAGATAATAAGGGGTGGCATTGCAAGATTGAAGCAACACATAGCACATGATAAAGGTCAAGTAGCAGGTTGTCCAAGAGTCACGTCATTTGTTAGGGAGAATATGATGAAACTTCTCAAAGATAAAAAAGAAAAGAAAATTGACTTTAGAAAAAGAAAAGAAGAATTTGAATCTCGATTAAGAGAAGATGATGAAAAAGATAGTGTCGAGGAGATGAGGATAGCTTCGCAACAAAGCATTAGATCACAACGTGAGTGGGAAGATAGACAATGATTCAGACAACAAATAGAGAGATCTAATAACATCTATGAATCAGGTGGAAGCTCTCGCATGAGTGTTAGTCAAACTTCAAGAAAAGAAGTTGCTACTTTTGCTTTAAGATCTACAAATGTGGATCTTTTGAGAAGTAAAAGTATGAAACAACCAAAAATAGGTGGGGGCCTTATGAAAACATTAAAGAAAAAGCTTGGAGAAGCGGTAAGAAAGTTTATAATTTATGAACGCTTACCTATGAATTTATCAAATTCTCCATGGTTGCATAATTTGATTATTGCAGCAGCTGAGGTAGGTCCATCAGTTAAATGCCCTACACCTTATGAAGTTTCTGATGTGTATTTAGAAGCTGAATATAAAAGCATGCAAGAATGGATAAGCAAGTTGAAAACTACATGGAAGGAAAAAGGAGTAACAATAATGTGTGATGGTTGGACAGATAGTGTAAATCATACACATATTATGAATTTTCTAGTGTATTGTAGCAAGGGAACAATTTTCTTGAAATCTATTGATGCTTCTAATGTTGACAGTAGAAATACTGATTACTACTTTCAGTTATTGGATAAGGTTGTGGACGAAGTGGGAGAAGAATTTGTAATTCAAGTTGTTACAGATAATGAAAAAGCACTTAAAGCAGCTGGTCAAAAGTTGATGGAAAAGAGACAACATTTATATTGGACTGCATGTGCAGCACATTGTTTGGATCTTTGTTTGGAGGATAAGGGAAAAAAAAAGAATGTGCAAAAGTTATTAAGTGATGCAAAAGTAGTAACAACTTTTATCTACAATCACACATGGATTGTAAATCTCATGAAAAAATACACTGGAGGTAGAGAAATTGTTCGTCCTGGTGTTACCCGATTTGCAACACAATTCTTACAACTTCAAGCAATTGTGCAACAAAAGCAAGGCTTGAGGAACATGTTCAACTCAGAAGAATTTAGACGATCTAAATTTGGAAGAGACAAAAATGGATTGGCATTTGAAGCAAGACAAATTGTTATTGGCAATGATTTTTGGAGCAAGGCTAATGATATATTGAAGGTATTTGAGCCTTTAGTAAAAGTTTTGAGGCTAGTTGATGGTGATGAGAAACCAACAATGGGTTTTATATATGAGGCAATTGATCGAGCAAAACAATCAATTCAAAAAAGTTCTCGTTATTATTCTTAATACCAAGAAATAATTGACAAGCGTTGGAGATTCATACATTCTGATCTTCATTCTGCTGGTAGTCATTGTAATTTTACATTTATTATATAAAGCAATACATTAATACATACAATTATAGATACATATTGATTAACTATTTATTTTTTAGGGTATTTTCTTAATCCACAATTTCAATATGGAGTTGAACATGGATCTGATGTGTATCGAGAGACATTTGAAGGAACCAAAAAGGTCATTATGAAATTGGAGAGAAACATGGATGATCAAATTAAAGCTTTAAACTCGGTTAGTAATAAATAATTATATTTTGTTTTTTAAAATTATTGTTATATAACTATGTATTGATATCTTATACAATATAATGTTATATAGTTGGTATTGTTTAAAGACATGGGTGAAACATTTGCTACACCTCAAGCTCAAAGAGCTTGGTCTAGAATGAATCCAGGTAAATATAGTTTCTTCCTTTCTCAATAAATAAATGTATTTTTTATAAATAATAACTTTTTTTTGCTTGATCTCTTAAAAAGCTGAATGGTGGTTGATGTTTGGTTCATGCTCTCCTGAACTTCAACGTGTGGCTATTAAAGTTTTAAGTCAAACAACTTCAGCCACAAATTGTGAAAGAAACTGGAGTACGTTTAGCTATATTCATACAAAGACAAGGAATAGGCTTAAGTACAAAAAGTTGCAAAAACTTGTCTTTACACATTACAACATGAAATTGAAAATGAGGCATCAAATGAGAAAAAGTCAAGAAGAAATTGAATCAAGTTTCAATCCAATTAATCTTGATTATATATTTCGAGAAGATGATCCATTATCTGCATGGATAGAAGAAAGAGAAAATCCACTTTTAGATGGAGTTCAAAATTCAGAGTGGTTGCCTCGAATTGATACAGATGATGAAGATGTGGAAGGTGGAGATAGTGATAATGATGGTGGTGACTTAAGCCCGCCAAGTAATAATAGTGGTGATGATGGTGTTGATATTGAAGGTGAAGAAAATGATGGTGAGGATGATGAGGATGAACAAAGACAAAATGATCCATATCAAGAGACTCCATATAATAGGCGTGACACAAATCTGGTAATTGATTTCACTACTTCTATGCCAGGTATGATTCCTCCTGATCGTTCATTTTCAGGTGATAATAGAAGAGACAATTCACAAGTTAGAAGAGGAAAAAATAAACAAAATGTGTCATGTCAAGATTCTTCATCTTCTCATATTGAACAAAGTTTTAGTGAATTCAATATTGATGATTCTTCAGAAAGTAGTCAAGGGTACTATCCACCATTAGTTTATCAACATCCTTATTTTAATGCATACAATCAATATGGAAGTGACCAAGTTCCCTCATACCACCAACCATCAATGAATTATAATTATCTTTATTATCAACAACAAAGTGGTGGATTTTTTTATTATGTTTTTGGACAAGGAGCCACATAAGGGGATAGCCAAAGCGAGAGTGGAGGCTATGATCATCCTCGTCACTCTACTATGTGGTAATAAGTATCATGTGAGTTATAAATTTATTATATATATAATTTTTCACTTGTGAAAAAAAATTCATGTTTTTTATAATTTTACAATATTAATAAAAATTTCATATTTTTTCCGTGTAGTGAAATGCATCTCTGAAGGGTAGCATTGCTTCTCAGATAATTGATGACAATGAAACTTGTGGGCAATCATATTACTTTATGTCAAGCCATGTCTGTAACGACCCGACTGGCCACTACAAGTCAACCTCAAGATAGACAGAAAGAGCAAGTATATAATTATAGGGTCTAGAATATAAAAATATACAAAGCCTCGATCCGACTAGAATTAGAGTGTATTAAAACATCCAACCAACAAAATACATAAGCCACTGCTACACCTAGTAGCTGTTACAGCAAAATGTCAATCAAACACGACCAACTCTGCGTACCAGCTGCCGACTCACCACGAACCAAAACACCTACTCCTGTTCTGCTCCCGTACATCGTACGATCATAGCAGTCCAACCACAAGGAAACAGCAAGGGTAAGCTAGTATAAAAAGAACAACATACAGCAAAATTCTAATAATCAGCACAACTTCAACCGTCAACACGACAACATTCTAATTTCCAATCAACCTATGCAACCAACCATCAATCAGATAAAAATGTGTCGTCACGCATATCACCTCGGAGATTCTCCTACAACAACTCAGCCGTTAAGGCCTACCACAACTCAGCCATTTAGGCCTACAACAACTCAGCCATTAAGGCCTACAACAACTCAGCCATTAAGGCCTACAACAACTCAGCCAATATCAATCTTGCACAACTATACAACTCAACGCATCAATGTACAACTCAACTTATCAACATAAAACTCAACTTATCAACATACAACTCAACTTATCAACATA